CACAGGGCCTCTAGTCAATAAATAAAATAAAATAAAAAATCCTGAGGTTTTGAGCCTGGTGATTGGGAGATTAGTATTTCATTAATAGATATAGGGAAAGAAGCAAGTTGGGGAAAGAAAATAATGAATTGTTTTAAACCATATATAAAGCTTTATATTATTTTTTTATTTTGAAATAATTTTAGTTTTGAAAAAATAACAAAAAGTTTACATATATTTTTCACCTAATTTCCCTTGATATTTGCATATGGGGTGCATCCTGCAACTTATATAACCATAGTACAGTTATCAAAATGAGGAAAGTAACATTGTACAATGATATACATTATAGACCTATTTCAGGTTTCACTAGTTTTTTTTACCCTACCCCTAATCCAGTTTGGGATCACGTGTTAGATTTAGTTGTGTCTCTTTAGTACATGTATCCTCTAATCTGTAACAATTCCTTAGTCTTTCCTTGCCTTATAAAAATTTTTTAATGAAAGAGAAGATGCTTATAGTATATGTGATTTAAAAAGAAAGCAGTATCATTGCATCTCTTTTAAAACACACAAGGGCCCGAATAAAATCATTATTTTTTTAAATGTTAAACATTGATTGTAAAAAACTGAAACAACATAGAAGACGTAAATAAAAAATGACAACCCACTCCCAGAGATAACTGCTGTTAATAATTTGGTGTGTATTATTTATTTCCTGTGTATTCATAATATGTTTGTATATTATGGAGTTTAATGGGCATACTTTACTGCAACTTGTATTTTTCAATAAAAAACTATATGATATTCACACAACATTCTTTAATGTCAATATATAGAGACCTTGCTCATTCTATTGATTTTTTACAGAGAGGAAGGGAGAGAGATAGAGAGTTAGAAACATCGATGAGAGAGAAACATCGACCAGCTGCCTCCTGCACATCTCCTACTGGGGATGTGCCCGCAACCCAGGTACATGCCCTTGACCGGAATCGAACCTGGGACCTTTCAGTCCGCAGGCCGACGCTCTATCCACTGAGCCAAACCGGTTTCGGCTCACACAACATTCTTTAATGTCAATATATAGAGACCTTGCTCATTCTCTTCAGTGACTGTACCGTGTTTCCTAATATGGCTATCTCATGAAACCTTTCCTTATTGATGGACCTTTAGGTTATTCTCAGGTTTTCATAATTATACAAAACACCTCACTAAACATTCTTTTTTTTTTTAAATATATTTTATTGATTTTTTTACAGAGAGGAAGGGAGAGAGATAGAGAGTTAGAAACATCGATGAGAGAGAAACATCGATCAGCTGCCTCCTACACATCTCCCACTGGAAATGTGCCCGCAACCAAGGTACATGCCCTTGACCGGAATTGAACCTGGGACCTTTCAGTCCGCAGGCTCTATCCACTGAGCCAAACCGGTTTTGGCCTCACTAAACATTCTTATGTATGTATCTTGGGCTATTTGGACAATTATTACTAAGAGGTAAAATTACCAGGACAGAGACTTTCACAGTTATTACCATACTGCCCTCCAAAAGGTTGTATCTCAACTTACACTCCCTCCAACAGTGCATGGCATGCTTCTTTCCTACCAGAGCTGTGGATGAAAGTGTTCCGATAGGTTGGCAATGATTTGGCTGGGTAGTGGTCTCGTGGGTGTTTGCCTATTTATACATTGCTCTTCCAATTTTTCCCCCTACAAAACACGGTTTTGCTTTTATAGCAAACACACACTAATGCAATACTTAATGAAAAATTAACCAGTTTAAAGATTTTGTCTTTGAGACCTTTTACTTTCAGTCATGGGATAAAAGCATGGCCATGAAGGCCTGGACAAGAGGCCCGAGAGGTTAGCAAAACAGTTATTGGAGGCTATCTATGGGGTGCATCCTGGATTTCAGGGTAGTGGTGGGATAGTAAGAAGTGTTCGAGAAGTGAGTGTCAGTGTCATGAACTGTTCTTAGGAAGGGGCTTCCATTAGCTGTGAGTAGAATGGAGTTCATCGTTGGCTCTTATAAAGGATCCTATGGACTTGAGCAGTTTGTATAATTCAGGGTTATTTCTTACAGAGAGTGGAGAGAGGAACAGAGGAAGGGACTACTATCCTAACATTTCCTTCTGGAATAACATAAGAATCACTGAATTATTTTTGACACTCTATCTGTGATGCTAGAATTGGATAAATAACAATGCTAGTTATGCCCAGCCGGTGTGGCTCAGTGGTTCAGCATTGACCTATGAACCAGGAGATCACAGTTCGATTTCAAGGACCACTTATACTCATTAAATTCTCCCTTTTAATACATTTATTCCAGGTTTTCAGAATCTACTTTATCTGATTTATGTTTTCTCAACTATAAAATATTTTTATTGATTTCAGAGAGAGAGGGAGAGAGATAGAAACATTAATGATGAGAGAGAATCTTTGATTGGCTGCCTCCTGCACACCCTCTACTGGGGATCCAGCCAGCAACCTGGGCATGTGCCCTGACCAGGAATCAAACTGTGACCTCCTGGTTCATAGGTGGACGCTCAACCACTGAGCCACGCTGGCCGGGTGTGGTCCTTGATTTCTTAAGTCTTATCTAAAAATACACTGGCTGCTCAGCAGACTAAGGGCCAAAAAGGTGGGGTTTTGTTTGGTTGGAGTTTTTGTTTGTTTTATATTTTTACCTTCCTAGCACATCTCAGAATTCTTTATTTTTATTATTTCAAATTCAAGATCTGTATTTTTAAGGGTGAGTATTATATATATACTGTGCCTTTTGATTTTTTTTTTTTTTTTGGTCATTCTGTCTGTACCTAAGCACTGTAGTTTTAGTTACATATTTCCAAACAGTGTAACGGCATATTTCCAGGCATGGTTTGACAAAGGGAAAGAATATTAGAAATTGAGACCCTCCTAAAAAGTCTAGGATGTGTAAGTTCCTCACCAAAGCATTAGTGCCATTATTAGTAATGGTCAGTGTGACTATTAAGAATGTTTGATGGACCATCAGCTGCCTCTTTCCTATAAGTGAGCTTAAGAACCGGGCCTTTGCAGGAGTCCACTGTTAGATTTTTCTCTCTGGTCCTTAGCTCTAACTTCTCTTTACAGAGGAGGTAGAACCAGGGCACAAAAATATAAGAACAAGCCCTAACCGGTTTGGCTCAGTGGATAGAGAGTCGGCCTGCGGACTCAAGGGTCCCAGGTTCAATTCCGGTCAAGGGCATGTACCTTGGTTGCAGGCACATCCCCAGTAGGGAGTGTGCAGGAGGCAGCTGATCGATGTTTCTCTCTCATCGATGTTTCTAACTCTCTATCCCAGTCCCTTTCTCTCTGTAAAAAATCAATAAAATATATTAAAAATAAAATAATACAAGATAACCTGTATTTTTCTGCAATATTTTAATGGGATTTCAAGAACTGTTTCACATTTGAAATCTGAACATGATTTGACTAAAATATGGTTTGGGTTTTATTTTTTGTTAGTAAACAAAATAAATTTGTATGTACTTTATGTATGATGTATGATTTATTTACATATGTGTGT